GTTTATGGGGACCGTCCGTAATACATACGATTATTAAGAGCATTTTCACCAAATGATGACTCGAGCGATATATGAGATGCAACTCATGCCTTTGAGTAATGAAGTATTCTTTATATTTACAATTTGACGTTTCTCCTCAGATTATAACGGCCACATTAAATCATCATTACATCATTTTTATCGGCTACTTCAGAGGAGAATTGAATCTATTTTCCTTTGATTCAATGATGACTCAGCTCTGAAAATTTCCGATATTTTTTTAAAAATAACCTGTTTTGTGGTACAGGAATTCTCCATACGAAAAATTGCTGAGTTGAACTTCATATCACAGCAGTGATAATTTTCATTTTGAGAGAAATAGTGCATTGGAGAATGTCAAGATTCATCTTATGAACATTGAATCATGCATAGAACCGCTACTATGAGGACTAAGTATTTTAGGGACGTATATTATGGGGACAGAAAATAAGCAATATGTATGTTATGGAGACTTTCATCTAAAGGTGATTGCGGGGACTCACACCTGAATGAAGGTGTAGGGAATCAAGTACTAATACGGTTCCCAGTATGATCCTATACACACGAGATAACTCAAGAATTTAGCGAGAGCACATACTCCTTTCGTCTGAATTTCAATAATATATTCCATAATTTTACTCGTCCTGTCATCTATTAATTCACGTTCCCAAATCAATATTATCAGTTCAATCTGAGGGAAGTATGTTCCCGATACGAGCAGAGAATGTGGAGTGACGATGGGTAGAGATTGACATTTGTCAGATATTGCATATTTCTTCTGAGAGGAGATAATTGGGGGAAAACCCAACTCAAGAAATTAGAGCAATGCAAAATTCCAATCGTTCTCGATTCATTTCCTCCATAAAAACAATGAATTAAATTTCTCAAATGAGTACTATGGGAACATGATATTTGTGAGACGTATCTTATGAAGACTGATAAGGTTGCAGGAAATTTCCACCTAAAAGCAGAAATGAGCAGGGCACAAGGTGCTTTCAATTTATTAAAGGAACCTCAAGAATTAGTCAGAAATGTGTCTTCGATTACTCATTAACTCTACTACTGACTCGCGTTTCTTACTGCAATGTTCAATGCAAAATCTTCCATAGTAGCAATCAAACGAATGAGTGAATGGAGGGGAATTCAAGCGAGATTGACTACGAATGTAATAATTATACTCCAATACTTTATTTTCTTCACATTCAACATGAAACGTATATATTTGTCTGCTATGAACTCAAACATTAATCAAACGCGTGAACGAACATCGCTTGAAGGAAAAAAAATGATCATATAATTGTTTAATAAACTGAAAGGAAATAAGTCGTGAGTAAGTTCAAAAATACTTTCTAATGATTTCAATACGAAACATTATTTGAAGATCGATTTATCCCTTTTCTCTTTCATACCAGTATGAAATGTTCAAAAAATGATTAAAGATCCACAACAAACATCAATGCGAATGAACATCGCCCAAAGGAAAAATATGATAATCATATCATTAGTCAATAAACGGAAAGTAAATAAGTCGTATGTGCCTTGAAAAATTCTTTCAAATGATTTCTATCAAAATTCTCTTTCTCTTTCATACCAGTATGAAATATCCAAAAAATTATTAAAGAGTTACCAAAATCATTCTAACGTGAAGAGTTCGTTGAAAATAATCCAATTATCGTTTAATCGAGTTTTCAAAAGTTTTCTTTCTGATAGCTAGAGAAGATTGACAAAAACTGGCATCGAAATTACATGGAGTGGAGTCAACAATGCATCAATTTCGTGTGAAAAATCATTTCTTGGACATTTTCTTCTTTTGGGTGTGTAACCATGTTCTCAACTGAGGGACAGTTCGTAGTTTCAGACAAGTATTTGAATCAATCAGACTCTGCATCTCGGCACCTGACGGCATTTTACCTGCTGTCAAGTGTTTGTTGAATGCTGATAAGACTGTACTACGTTCTTGCTCACTCCATCGTTTGGATGTCGAAGGTTGAAGGTCGGATTGTATCAGAGATTTATTGAATTTACTACCGGAACTAGTGCGGGAAGTACTCGGTTCATCAAATTCCACCGTTGAGACATTCCTTTGGAATGAACTTCCGTCAATTACACCTTCGTTTTCAGAATCATCAGATTCATCACAACCTTGAGCAGTTTTGAGCAGCTTGGAAATTTTCACGATATCGGTCTCCAATACCGGCTGACGATAGATCTCTTTGTGGATCTTCTCGTGATGACCCATGAAGTTTGCTAGGTCTGTCACCTGACCATCTGTGAGATTCAGATTGATACATCTCGTCGCAATGTGTTTCCTCAACTGAGTGGCACGCAGAGTCTGGGGGTTTTCAGCTCGACATTTAGTTGAGTATTCCCTCATGAGTTCACAGGCACGATGATAGCGAAGACGATCTTTATCTGAAGATGGTAGGCCAAACAAATACCGATTATCCGGTGGAACACCTGCTCTTTCTCTGTGCTCAATGAGAAGATTCAAGCAGTTCAGAACGTCATTGTCAACAAGTACAGGTACACCTCGACCAAGCTTGCCACGGATCTCAAATCTCACATACTTTCGAGCGAGTTTCTTACCTTCTTCACTCAAGGCATTGTAGGCTTCTTTGTTTGCTGTGTGATCAAGAGAACGATAACTCTGAAAATCTTCAAGATACAACCGTTCTATCTCCCCTGGTCGGCGACGATTAAAGATTTGCAGTGACAGTAATGTCATTTTTCCAAGATTCTTCCACGCTTCAAATGAGTACGCCTGAGTGAGTTGATTGAAATGCTCCGATCTTTCGCATTTAATATAAGTATGAAATTTCTTTATGTCATCAGTGCTGGGTAGAATAACTTCCTTTCGACGATTATTTTGAGTTTGTGTTTCAGCTACTTCTCTGTTAATACTCGTACCGAAATCTTCCTCTAATAACTTCATAAAATCCTCAGTTTTCCTCTGCTCTACTGACATTTCCTTCTTTATACACTCAGATCTCAGTATTGTACCAATATATTTCAATAGAGTACCAAGGTTCGAGGCTACTGATGGACTTCTGAACGTTCTTAGCTCTGGGTCATATCCTGCAACGTCTCTCACAGCTTCTATGGAGATATCGTAATGGCGAGGATGATATACATCCGACAGCGTTTTGATAGTCTTCGATTTATCAAGCTGTCGAACGGAAAGAAAAAATCTACCAACGAGGCGCAGCTTCTGCTTGACCATTGTATACAAATGTTTATGAGTTCCATATCTCTGG